TATATATATATATTTATATTTATATATAGAGTACTAGACCCAACCACTAGGAACGTGCCGATCGGGCTTTGTTTCCTTTAACATGAAGCTTGCTTTTCTCGTTATATTATATATGTTCTGTGGTGTGTAAAATATGCAGAACTGTCGCAGCATTCTCAACGCTCGTTGATGTGGTCATGCATTGCTAGCGCCACATTTGCCATTTGCGCCAAAAATTCCAAAAGGACATTTCCCCCACTCCGCAATGGCGACGATGACGATGACGGCGTTGCTTACATTTGCAATTTCAGATTCGGATTTTGATTTGTAATATCTTCTTTCGTAGGGCTCGAAGAGAAAAAATAAAAACACGTACTATACAACCAGAGTGTATGCTACATCGATTATGCGTACATACGTGATTAGTTCTGCCCTTATCGAGATATGGTAATCTCAGTCTTCTGCAATTCGCCGACTCGCGTAAAGTAGTGATGTGATAGTGTCGTTTAGCACCGAGACATTATCGTGTCTCCAGATAATAAAAAAAATAATAATAATAATAATAATAATAATAATAATAATAATGAGGAAACAAAAATAATTAAAGGGATAATTTTCATATTGTTTGTTTTAGAAAAAATTGAGTTTTAAGAAATGTAAAAGAATTGCTCGTATATAGGATATTTTGGATTTAAATGGCCAAACTTCGAGAGTGTGTAGGGAATCTATAAACTAAGAAAAAAGCATATCTTCAGAGATATGCTTGTTTGTTTTTACTTCGTTTTAGAGAAAAAATCGCAAAAAAAAACCAAATGTGGTTTTCATTTTTATATTTATTTATTATTCATTCTGTATTTATTTATTTGTTTATTCATTTACACTTATTTATTCACATCGTCACTTGCTTAATGCAGATATTGTTCCAAATGTTGGTTTCTCCTAGTAATGCACGCATTGTATCTTGTACGGACAACTCATGTTGCAGCGAAACTCTGATCTGTTCTACACAATAAATTACTGATCCGGCACTCTTCTGTCTGAAAATCGATGCGAACACTCTCGCACTGCCTCTGAAGCATTATCACTGAAGTCGTAAATAAAAACAATAATACTGGCTATCCAGTCAGAAATCCATTTTTCGACGTCTTCATAAGAATTGAAGTGTTCCTCAGCAAGTGCGTGTGTCATCGACCGAAACAAGTGGTAGTTGGAAGGAGCACAGCGAAGTATTGTTCAATACTTCTAACGTTTCCTTGACAAGTTTTGTGACGTGAGACCGAGCGTTGTCATGAAGTAAAATCACTTTATGCTGTCTCGTTTCATATTTTGGTCGTTTTTCGTTCAATACTCGGCTCAAACGAATAATTTGTTCTTGGTAGAGAGATCCCCTGTAACTGTTTGACTGGATTTCAACTGCTTATGGTACACTATACCCTTCTGATCCCACCAAATACAGGCATTGTCTTCTTTCTGTAGATATTTCGCTTTGGCGTCGATGTTGAGGATTGACCGGGGTCGCAAATGGTTTTTCAATGTTTGGGATTGTCAAAATAAATCCATTTTTTATCCCCAGTGACGATACGATACAAAAATCTCTTTTTTTATTGTTTAGCAAGCAAAATTTCGCTGATGGTTTTTCGCCTCTTAGCTTCAGTTCATGGGATCCATTTTCCATCCTTGTAGACCTTTCCCAAAGCTTTCAAATGATCGGAAATAACAGATTCAACACAATTTAATGTTTCTGCAAGTTGTTTTTGTGTTTGATATGAGTCTTCATCTACCAATGCTTGTAATTCTTTGTCTTCGAATACTCTTGGTGGAATCTATTTTCCTATAAGTATCATTCAATTCTAACTTCAAGATATTTACAACACATTGATATCTAATATATTCAAATTTTTTAAAATGTGTAATTTTTAACTGAACTGTTCCCAAAAAATTCCAATTTAAATCTATATAGCCGATGCAAGTGAGGTGGGGATAATATTGTTTGCGATACAATATCTGATGAATCTAGCATGTAAAAGACTTTTAGTTAAGCAAATACGTGACTTAACTCATAACTTTAATAATGTAACTGTTTCCGGTCCAAAAACGGAATAAATAAATTGAAAAAAAGAAAAATATTGAGGTGGACGCATTTTGGTGGATAATAACGGGCTTACGCGCTTTATAGTGAGTTGGAAAGAAAAAAAAGTATATAGCCAATTCCACATGTAGAAGTTTATTAAGTAATGATGGAATACTTCCGAGAGCCTACGCTCTTCCAAAGATACATAAACAGGATTGACACTTTCGTATAATAGTTTCTTCGATAAATAGTCCTTTGTATTTGTCAGCAGTGTTTCTTCATAATATTATCATAAAAAAATAATTCCTAAGACTGATAGTCATATTGAAAATAAGATATTGAGTGATGAATTTCAGGTAACGTCACTGGATGTTGTGAGCCTCTTTACTAACGTCCCCCCATTGACTATGCAATGGACTGCGTTAAAGACCATTAGCGATTTATTTCTAGAGATTGTTGTCTACCGGAAGAGGAATTCATCAAAGCGATTCAGTTCGTTTTAGATTCTACTTTCTTTGTTTTTGATAGTTGTTTAGACTAAGTACAAAATTCGCGACGTCATCATCATTATTATTTGACACCACACTCAATGTCGCGACGGAAGTATAGACCGCGACAACTGTCGGCGATCGATCGAAGCGCTCGATACGGGACTTTAGGCCGTTTCCGTCTTTGAGAAAGAAGCTCGGTACCATCCGACAAGTGAGCACCGATTCCCGTTCCACGAATACACAGAATTCTTCCAACCCGCACCAGCGGTCATAATCTTACGAACAATTTTTGGTCCTTCGAGCCGGATTCTGTGTTAAGAAATACGGATTTTGTGATTGTGAGGTGAATTGAGAAAAGAAACCAAAAGGGATCAAACATCGGTCAATTTTCCACGGAATCACGGGCCAGAGATAGGAATCTCACCCCCTCCAGCGCGCCATTGTACGTGTGAGACGTATACATAGGCGCGCCTACACACATCAAGACGCACGAGTCCGTGTTCACGAAGAAGCTTTCGTCAAATTTCGGCAGTCACCGAACGTTACCGAACGTCACGGGGCATCGCGTCAGAGACGTCCCCACTTTCCGTCTTCTCCTGCCCCGCTGAAGAGAGGCAAGCTTACACGCAAGCTTACAAGCTCCGCCACGTTGAAGCGAACTTGATCGCATTCGGCAGTCGCCGCGCACGAGTTCCAACTGGACTTCTTCGCTTCGAAGAGTTCGACCAACGCATTTTCGCCCACGACATCAAATTCATCATGGGTCTGTCATATGATTCAGCTCTAATTCAACAGAAGCAATTTCTTGGGCTTCTTGCAAGAGCGGTGGAGAACTTCAAGAAAATCGGCCCCAAAAATATCACTGTTGCCATAGCACGCAGTCGACTCGTAAATGTCGAAAAATATTGGGAACGCATTTTGGAGCTCAACGCACAACTCGAAGAATTAGCTACGGACGAAGATCGTTCGGCAGAGCCATATTTCACCGACTGTCTTTTCTACGCCGCAGAGGAGACCTTCCTGGGAGCCTCGGACTACATAACAGCCTGCGTAGATAAGTTAACACCGTCTACTTCTAATGCTACACCTCCGATTCATAATTCGACCATAAACGAAACTCAGTCGCAAAATAAGTCTCCATTTTTGCCGCGCATAACTTTGCCAAAATTTTCGGGAAATTATACCGATTGGGTCAATTTTCGAGATATTTTCGCTTCTCTCGTGCATAGTAGTACAAGCCTATCGAATGTTGAACGCTTTCATTATTTAAAATCGAGCCTAACCGGAGATGCAGCATTAGTACTTAAAAACATTTCGATTACGGACGCGAATTATGCTTCCGCGTGGAACACGCTCAATTCGCGTTATAATAATCCTCGTGCAATTGTAAACGCGCATTTGTCTGCATTATGCGATCTCGCGCCAGTAAAGCACGAAAATGCTACAGAATTGCAATTTTTACGCGATCGAACAAATGACGTCATTGCGGCGCTCACTACGTTGGAACGACCTGTATCCGAATGGGACGATTTGCTTGTATTTTTAACAGTTAAAAAACTCGACAAACATACGCGAATGGAGTGGGAGTTCAAACTCGGCGATTCTGAGGACTTCCCCTCCTATGATGATTTAGATTCGTTCTTGTCTGCGCGCATCCGAGCGCTCGAATCGGTGTCGTGCGTCGGTCCGTCTACTAACGCGTCGACGAAAACAAGCGGATCGCCGCATTCGAAATCAACTCGCGTACTCACCGCAACCGAGAAGCATGAACGGTGTACTCTTTGCGCAAATGAACACCAACTGTACCAGTGTCAAAATTTTAAAACCCTCGAGCTCGAAAGTCGAATGAAAATTATCCGAGATAACAATCGATGCATAAACTGTTTGCGCGTTGGACACGCGGCCTCAAAGTGTCGAAGCAAATTTAGATGCGCTCGTTGCAAGGGATTGCACCATACGCTGCTGCATCAGGATCGGTCTGCTGCACCGGTGCAATCGGTAAACCATGCGGGAACGGCGTTAAGCCTAGACGCTAAGCCTTTTACTGATAACACTGCAACTGGATTTGCTGCTTCCGACATTGAAACGTCGCTGTCTTGTCCGACTAAAATTAATAACGCACCAGACAATCTTACTGCCTCTAACCCTCGGCCATGCGGCTCATGCAATACGGCAGGTGGCAACGGAGTCGTATTCCTCGCGACCGCAACTGTCGTTGTCAAGTCACCGGAAGGTCGGACCTTCCGAGCTCGCGCTTTACTCGACTCTGGATCTGAGTCTACCTTTATTTCAGAACACGCCGTACAAGCTTTGCGCGCGAAGCAACATAAGACTCATATCGAAATTACCGGTGTAGGTGCACAAGCACAAGGGCTTGTTCGCGCACTGACGAACATTACTATTGAACCGCGTGATGGACAGGGCCCAACGATTGCGGTTAGAGCACTAATTCTGAAGAAATTATCTTCGTACAAGCCGACAGCGCATATTGCTCCCGGCAAATGGCCGCATATATCGGGATTGCCGCTGGCGGATATTGATCCGTCAGACCCTGTTCCCATCGACCTCTTGATCGGTGCGGACCTGTACGGGCAACTGCTCTTAGACGGGTTGCGCAAAGGACCGCTAGGTTCCCCTACCGCACAACGGTCCATTTTCGGTTGGTTACTCATCGGTCCCTCATCCAACTACCACAGCATCCGCACATCCGCGACGACTTTACATTGCTCGTCCGTAACAAACGTCGACTCGCTTCTCAAGGCATTCTGGGAAGTCGAGGAAGTAAACACGCCAAACATCCTTTCAGAAGAGGATCTCCGATGCGAGCAACATTTCGCGTCAACGCACCAACGCTTACCAAATGGACGGTACATGGTGCGCCTCCCTCTGAAAGATATATCAATGCAAATCGGCGCAACTCGCCAAGCGGCGAAACGCCTTCTTGAAAAATCTGAATGCCAGTTAATTCGTCAATTGGAAGTTTTGGGAAAATACAAAGCGTTTATGACCGAGTATCGCGATCTCGGCCATATGATGCTCGCGCCACCCCACTCTTCTAAAATCGGGACTACGGTGTATTTGCCACACCACCCGGTCTTCAAACAACATGACCCGTCGAGTAAAATTAGGATCGTCTTCAATGCGTCACATCGCTCAAGCGACGGAAGCACGCTTAACGATCACTTACTTTGCGGTCCCAAGCTGCAGAGCGATCTGCCAGCTATAATCCTTCGGTGGAGACAACACCGATACATCTACACGGCGGACATCGAGAAGATGTTCCGTCAAATTCTCGTTCACCCTGACGATCGAGACTATCAGAGAATCCTTTGGAGAGATTCTCCCTCTGAACCCATAGCGGAGTATCAATTAGCTACCGTTACTTACGGTACGGCCTGTGCTCCCTATCTCGCACTACGCGTCTTGCGGCAGCTTGCTCACGATGAGCGGGCGCATTACCCACGTATCGCCGGCATCATTGAGGAGGATACCTACATTGACGATATCTTCTTTGGTGCTGACGATATCCAGACCTTGCGCGAGATGCGAACTGAACTCGTCACTCTAATGAGCAAAGGCGGGTTCACTCTCAAGAAATGGTACTCGAATGAGCCATTGCTCTTGGCGGATATCTCCGCTACCTCTTCCGACCCTTCCTTGCTGCTCCACTTGGATCAGGAGGGGAGTACCAAGGTGCTCGGAATACACTGGCATCCAGCCACCGACTCATTCCGGTTTTCCGTAACCGTGTCACCTACCGGATTTCCGACAAAACGGCTCGTACTATCGGAAATCGCCAAGCTCTTTGACCCCTTAGGATGGGTCTCCCCCGTCACTATACGGGCTAAGATCCTATTGCAGGAGTTATGGCTCCGAAAGGGCGATTGGGACGATCCACTACCCGAGGACTTAGCCAGACAGTGGCAAGAGTATTGTCGCGATTTGCCGGCCCTTTCTCGCATTTCCATCCCTAGGTGGACAGGTCAACGAATCGAACATGCTACCCGGGATTTACACGGTTTCGCCGATGCCTCAAATCGCGCATACGCGGCTGTAGTATATCAGCGCGTGCTTCACCCAACTGATCCACCGGAAGTCACCCTGCTGGTCAGTAAGACCAAGGTGGCCCCTATCAAGACTCTGAGCATACCCAGATTGGAACTCTGTGCAGCGTCACTACTCGCGAAGTTAATGTCCAACGTTGTCTCGACTGGTCGCGCTTCGAACGCATCCCTACATTGCTGGACCGACTCCACCGTGGTATTAAGTTGGCTTAACGAGCATGCCTCGCGGTGGAAGACGTTCGTCGCCAATCGAGTGTCTGACATACAAACCAGGCTACCCACGGCTACTTGGCGCCACGTGCCAAGCAAGCATAACCCTGCGGATATTGCTTCACGGGGTATTTCACCCTCAGAGTTGGTCAACCACGATCTTTGGTGGAACGGACCACAGTGGCTCAAAGTTGAACCTTCCGAGTGGCCACACAACCCACTCATCACCATACCGGACGACGAGCTCGCCCGTAAAACCCCAACGACACACACTGCTCACGTCAGCACGGAGGAGTGGGACCTACCTACGAAAATCTCCACATGGCCTCGATTAGTGCGTGTCACCGCGTACGTACTACGCTTTTTGCGACATTGTCGGTCCCGCTCAACCGATAAACTCACATTCACCACCGAAATTCAGAATGCCCGACAATATTGGATTCAAGCGGCTCAGCAATCAGGATTTCACGAAGAGATTCGGGAACTGAACCATTCCCGCTCAGTTCCGCCACGTAGCCGACTTTCAAAGCTAACACCCTTCCTTGATAGTTCAGGTACCCTGCGAGTAGGGGGACGACTATGCAACTCTGCATTATCGTACGATGAACGTCATCCGATCATTCTGCCCCCGCATCGCATTAGCGACCTGATTGTTCGCCACACCCATTTGCGATGTCTTCATGGAGGGTTGCAAATGACGCTACGTGTTCTCCGCCAACAATTCTGGCTGCTAGGAGCCCGGAACATCGTGAGGGCACATATAAATCGGTGTATTCAGTGCGTGCGTGCACGAGCAACCTCTGTCACACAAATCATGGGTAACCTTCCAGAACAACGAGTTACCCCGGCTAGGGCATTCGCCCATTGCGGCATCGACTATGCAGGCCCCATTTCTGTCCTCGCAGTTAGCGGACGAGGCCAAAAGGCTCATAAAGCGTACATTGCCGTCTTCGTATGCCTATGCACGCGAGCAATTCATCTGGAATTAGTCTCAGACTATTCTACAAAGAAGTTTCTAGCCGCTTTTACCCGGTTCGTCTCAAGAAGAGGCACACCAACCACTGTTATGAGCGACAACGGCACCACATTTCAAGGTGCTGATCGCGAACTACGCGGCGCGTTCCGCAAATTAAAACAAGACCCAGAGCTCCAGGCCCACATGGAAAACTTTGAGATTTCGTGGAAGTTCATCCCCCCTTCCGCTCCTCACCACGGAGGTATTTGGGAGGCTGGGGTGAAGAGCACGAAACACCATCTGCGTAGGGTGATCGGTGATAAAACGCTGTCGATAGAAGAAATGTTTACCTTCCTTACGGAAGTGGAAGCATGCCTAAACTCCAGGCCCATATGGCCCCTGACGGATGATCCAAGTGATAACTTGGCATTGACCCCTGGGCACTTTTTGATTGGTGCTCCAATCGTGGGAATCCCTGAGCCATCCGTGATCGATAAATCGGAGCAGTATTTATGTCGCTGGCAACGCGTTCGCCGCATGACTGAGGTTTTTTGGCGGTCCTGGTCGACTGAATATCTGCATACGTTGCAGCAGCGCCATAAATGGCGCACTCCGCAGAACGACCTTAAGGTCAACGATATCGTAGTCTTAAGAAATCCGCTTCTTCCGCCTACAAAATGGGCACTAGCGCGCGTAACTCAGGTACATCCTGGTCGAGACGGTCGGGTAAGAGTAGTCACCGTTAAAACCTCGCGATCGACTTACCAGAGACCGGTTACCCAGTTATGTAAATTGCCTGTAGAACCTATACCCTCTTAAGACATTGTATCCAGACGGGTGGTTCCACAGAGCAGCGCCAAACTGTTTCGCCATGGCGGGCGGCATATTTAGGATTAAGTTATGTATAAGGTTCCTGCGTTAATTTAAGTTCTAGTTAGAATCGTAACCTAGTTCTTCTCTAGTCTAATCTTCTATAGTTCTATCGCCTCGGATTGCCCGATACGAGGCGGGCGGTTGTTTAGACTAAGTACAAAATTCGCGACGTCATCATCATTATTATTTGACACCACACTCAATGTCGCGACGGAAGTATAGACCGCGACAACTGTCGGCGATCGATCGAAGCGCTCGATACAGGACTTTAGGCCGTTTCCGTCTTTGAGAAAGAAGCTCGGTACCATCCGACAAGTGAGCACCGATTCCCGTTCCACGAATACACAGAATTCTTCCAACCTGCACCAGCGGTCATAATCTTACGAACAATAGTGTTATACGAGTATATAGACAGAACGGCACTCCTATGGACTCTCCATTGTCTCCCGTCATTGCGGATCTAATTATGCAAAAGCTGGAGGTTAGAGCTTTGTCTTTGATTCGGTTGCCCTTTTACTATAGGTTTGTTGACGACATATTATTGGCGGCACCTGCGTCTTCGGTTAAGTCCATTCTTGATATTTTTACTTCTCAGTATCCTAGGCTTCAGTTCACTATGGAGGTAGGGGGTGATAGATTGAATTTTTTGGATGTTACAGTGTTAGGGATAATGCGTTGATAGAGTTCAATTAGTATCACAAACTTTTTCGGGTAGATATTTGAATTTTTGGTCACAGCATCCTGTTTCTCAAAATAGATACAATCGCGGGATTAGTTAATAGGGTAGTTTTGCTTTCGAATCCTAAATTTTACCTTGATAATTTGTATTTCATTATTAAAGTATTATTAGAGAATGATTATCCATTGAATTTTCTATTTGAGAATATTAACAATCGTTTGAAGAAAATTATTATAGTTGGAAATAGGAAGAGTGTTGTTAATGATAATAAGGCAGAAGCAGTGCATCCTTCGTGGTTCACTGTTCTTTTCATTCGTGGTATTACTGAGAAGTTTAGCAGATTGAATAGTGAGCGTATGAGAGTATCGTTCTATAGTACTAATAAATTGCGAGAATTCATTAGGATACATAAATTTTTACCGCGTGACAAGAAGTCAAATGTTGTTTATAAGATCTCGTGTAAGAGTTGCGATGCAAGTTATGTAGGGCAGACGTGTAGACAGCTGAAGTCAAGAATTACGGAGCATAAGAACCACATCTGATAGAACATCTCTGCTCGTAATGTTATAACAAAGCACCGCCTTACAAGAAGATCATGACTTCGATTGGAACAACGTTACAATACTGGATGAGGAGCCTCACTACAGGAAGAAATTGATTTGGAGATGATATTTATCAGGAGACAGACGCACGGGCTCAACTTGCAGACGGATATGGAGGGGCTTCCCAAGGTCTATTTCCCGATCATAGACAAGCTTAGGTTGTTGTCATGTCTAGTGACAGTCTGTCAATGTCGTTGGTACGCAATAATGAGTCTTTCTGGTGTGATTTTTAATTACTTTCCAACTTTCATTTTTAAGGAATTGATTAACGTTCCAATGCAAAATTTTTTCATTTGTAAGCTTCAATAATACTAGCTGAAACTGAAAGTGACTCACTGTGTCTGATACTGACTGGCTAAAATATCGAGAACCGGTTTTTGAATAATTTATAGTAATGCGATACAGTTTGTGATTTGTGATCAGGATGGGCGTCCTTATTTTCGAGATAATTAATTATAATCTTAAGGTTTTTGATAAATTAGTTTTTCATATTTTCCATTTCGATATTTCCATTATTTCATTTTTTCGTTCATCTTTCTTTTCTCTTTTTTCGTTTTATTTTATTCTTTTTGGCGTCTGAATTCTCGGGGTAGGGATGCTCACCATGATAGGATAATTTTTATTCACAGTTTATGTATATTAATTTTTGTTGTTTCTGAGGAAGGCTCAAAAGTGAGCCGAAACATGTAAGCGCGTTTTAGTAAATAAAGAAGTTTTACACTTCATAGATATATTACTTGCGCGACGTCTTCTGCGCTTGATTCCTACTGCCTGTATCCTTTCCAGTTCTTTGAATTATAAGGAGTCTTAGTTAATTTGATTTATAATACGGATTTAAATAAGTAGCTTTCAATGCGAATGATATTCCTATTGATGTGTATCCAATAGTAACTAATATACCATTAGTCGAATAATATTCCTATTGGACTACATTTAATGATAAAGTATTTTACCACTGACTAAATAATTTTCTTATTGAACGCTTCAAATAGTAAAGTCATTCGATAATGATAATGCCGTTGAATCTGTATAATTTTATCATTAGTTCAAATGATTTTACTATTGATCTGAATAATAATACAATTGACACTTTTCGCGACGGGATAGACCAGATTTCGCACACAAGATATTGTTCTATTAACTATACCGGCTGGAATATCAAGAAAAATACAATCGTTAGATGTTTTTGGATTTCATTTGTGGAAAAATTTCATCAAGCATTTTTCAGATATGGTCATGCTTTTAGATCTTGATGTAAAGCTTTATTCTAGAAATGCTATTTTCAAATTACAATTTATTAACGCACAATCAGTTTTTATCGCCAAGATTTACTAATTTGTTTAGCACGCTTGGTACCAAAGTGTATATTTGGAACATCGGCTAGTAGAATTTGAAACTCCAGTTGAATTTTGTTTTAAAAAATTCGAAACCAACATGCGATATTTATGATAATTAATAAGATGCAATGTTTTGTCAAAACATTATTCATGTTAACGTTGAACACGATGGACACTGTAATTAGCTGCTGTACCATCAAAATGAAATGAACAATATTTTATGAAAATAAGAATTTCTTTATTCATAACTTTGATTTTAATTATTGGAGGTACATTTTTGTATTGTATATATTATTTAAAATATTTGATTGGTTTCGGAAGTTTAATAAAGTTACTGTTACTATTACTGCTATTACTATTATTATTATTATTATTATTATTATTATTATAACATTATTATTGTAAACAGCTCTTACTATAATAGCTAGTGTGATATTGATGCATACCGGATGCATACCGGATTCATTCAATGTTATCTCGAGTAACTAACGCTGATATGAGACTGATACGCGTATATATAAAGGCGTTTTTCGTTCATATTCCAAAAATCGTTTGCGGAACATGAATTTTGTATAGGTTGTTGTTTTCAGCATAAAATGTTTTTTAATTTTTGTTACTATAAAAATTAAAAAATGTTTGAAAATTAGGGGTGGGAGTGGGGATATATAAAATAAACAAATAAATTAATAAATTTTTTTATTATAATTATGAAATACTCTTGCAACCATTTAACTTTTATTTTAATCATTTTTTTCTATCTTTCGATGATATTCAATCTGAAAGAAAAAAATTGATTTTTTCAAGGAAGGATTTCACCCGCTAACGTGCGACTCAACACGTATAAAAAAATACATGTCCCCGATTTTTATCCATAAAACAATATACTAAAATCTCATTTAAATTGGAGAGATTCACTTATTGTTGGTTATGTTCCCTTGTGAGTAAAGAAGTCTTTGTGAATATATTGGGTGGATCCATATATTCGTTCGCTTTTTGAAGGCTAAAATGAAACAAGTTTTTTTCATACAAAGGATGAATTTTAATCAATAATATATTCTCCGTTTTTGTTGATGACCTCTTGCCATCTTTCCAACAATTTCATTATTCCGCTCTCATAGAAGGTCTGGGGCTTAGAGGCGAAAAACCGGTCGAGGTACGTTTTCACAGCTGTCTGATCAGCGAACGATTTCCCGTTGAGGGAGTTTTGCAGGGACCGGAACAAGTGATAGTCGGATGGCGCAAGGTCTGGTGAATACGGTGGGTGAGGCAAAACATCCCAGCCAAGTTGCACTAATTTTTGCTGAGTGATTATTGCGGTGTGGGGTCTGGCGTTGTCATGGTGGAATATGACACCTTTGCGATTGATCAGTTCTGGACGTTTCTGTCGCAATGCTTGATTCAATTTCGTTAGCTGCGTGCAGTAGATCTTCGAATCGATCGTTTTTCCCTGAGGAAGCAGCTCGTAAAACAGCACACCACGATGATCCCACCATATGGATAGCAAAATCTTCTTCGGATGCAGGCCGGCCTTCGGGGTGGCATTCGGCGGCTCGCCAGCGGTTCCCCACGATCTCTTGCGCACTATGTTGTCATAGATGATCCACTTTTCGTCGCCAGTCACTATTCGTTTGAGAAACGGGTCGCTTTCGTGCCGCTTCAGAAGTGAATTGCAGATGGATATGCGGTTGGCCAGGTTCTCCTCGGTCAGCTTGTGCGGCACCCAAACATCGAGGCGGGACACGTAGCCAAGCTGTTGCAAATGCCTTTGTACGGTTCCATAACCTATTTTAAGTGTCTCCGCAATCTCTCGCACCTTTAGCGTCCGGTCTTGCTCAACCAGTGCCTTGATATCATTCGAATCAACCTCGGTGGGCCGACCGCTGCGGGGTCCATCTTCAAGACTCGTATCTCCGGAACGAAATTTGGCAAACCATTTCTGAGCGGCACGTTTTGTTAAGGCATCGTCCCCGTATACGCTGCATATCTTTCGGTGGGCCTCCGCAGCTCGCTTGCCTTTCTTGAAGTAATAAAGCAAAATGTGCCGAAAATGCACCTTATTCTCCGACATGTTCACAGGTCTATAGCACAAACAAAACTAATGCCAATGAAACCAAATTTGACAGATGAAAAGAGCGGACTGTCACCTTTTCAAAACATATTTGGATTGCCCGATTAGGCAACCAGAACCGGAGATATTCGGAAAAAATTTGCACTACTAACAAAAAGCGAACGAATATATGGATCCACCCAATAGATCGAAAGCTTAATTGTTTCTGACATATAAAAATTTTTGTTAACATCATAAATGACTTATTTGCTACATTTAGA